TATTTCGGCCGACCACCCCCCCCCTCATCCCATCCTCTTCATTTTGTTCATCTCCTTCCTCAAGAACAAGTCCTCCCTCTCAAGATTAATTTCCATAAGTTGGTTCTTGATCTCCTGGTAAGTTTTTCCTTACTAATATAGTGATTCTATACATATATATACTAGCTTTGTTATAATTACACACATTAATATGTGTTAATATCCATAGGATCTTTCAATCTTCAAGTGTTATTAGCTTGAAATCTCTCATCTTCACCTCTTTATCCACCAAGAAACACACTCAAGGTGAATTCATACCCCTCATTTTCATCTTTATCCAAGTTTAGGGGGAGAATACAAGTAAACTTCTAAAATTGTACAAGTTGTTATACATGCTTACTTTCATGTTGTGTAAAAATGTTATCTACATGAAATAATGTTATTACCTAGTATTATGAACATTTATTTGTGGTATGTTGTTTAAAATACAAATCTATGAAAAATGAGTATAAACATGCTATATGTTCTTAAGAAAAAGTTATAAAAACAAAACTATAAAAACTAAGGTTTTTATGAACAAAATATGACTTTTCTAGCAAAAATGGTTATGACCAAGTTATTATAACATTTTTGTGGGATATAAATCAAAATAATTTATTTTGGACATATGTTATGAAACTAGTTATAAATGCCAAAGATTTGGTTTTACAAAAAGAAAACCTGAAAATCTATTATTTTATGTAAAAATTAGGGTTTTCTAAAAAAAATGGTCATAACCAGGTTATGGTGTCATTTTTGTGTGATTTGACCTAAAATATGTTGTTTTAAACATATAAGGTTTGCTTGAATTAAACTTCACAAAAATGTAAAAATAAATTTCACAGTTTATAATTCAATAGTTATCGTTTGATGACGTAAAAAGTCAAAAACTAGAAAACTGACTTTGTCATACTAAAAGTTCATATACTTGTGTTAGATGTATAATATATGTTATTTATGAACATCTAAACATGTTAACTTATATATATGCGTATATATAGGTACAACAAAATATTTATAATAAACTATAATAGCTGTAGTTTATGAGTCATTAACGCTATTATAACATTTTGGGACAAGACGAACAATTATATAAAAATATATAATTTGTACACTATATTAATACTATGGAAAAGTGATATTTACACATACAAGGATTTTCATTAGACCAAAACATAAACTTGTTGAAACAATTATGTGAGACAAAGTCTTCACCGTACCTACCAGAATACACACTAAAGTCCCGAATTATAACCAGAATCACAGTAAGAGAGTGTGATACTTGTGTGTAGATCTATACGGGATTGAAAATCTCGTACCTAAGCTGCTAGCTACAGTTAGACCGGCAGGGCTGGGGTGACAAAATGTCTAACATTTTGATGTCTGAAGAACGTCGCAGCAGGCCAACTTCGGTTTTAGCATGGTTGTAATAACTCACATGGGAAATCACTACTAGAATATATGCCTTTAATGACGCGCAAAAGACGACACGCACTGATTTATGTTACGCAAAAGAGAGTGACCTTAAAATAGTATCATCTCTTCAAAAATTTTAAGGATTTACGTCACGCATTATTGCGTGCCCTTAAATTAGTGTCTCTTAAAAAAAATTAAAAACACGAGAGGGCGCTTTTTCTTAAACGTGCATCCTCTATACTCGTCGCTTTATAATTTTAATGAAGCGCACTTAGCAGACAAGGGGGGAAACAAAATCCCCAAAATTTTTAAAGCCCGCCGTTGTTTTCTACCTTCTTTCTATCTTTCATCTTCGCAATCGACTCTCTCCTCTCCGATCCGCTTCTCCACTACTCCTGACCTCCTTCTTATCGGTCTCATCAAACATCTCATTCCTCACCTTTGCCGTTGACCATTGGTCCTTCCCCATCGACCGTGCTCCTACCGAATGATCATCTGTCCAAGCACAATCGGCGGTGTATGTTTACTTTTCTTCTTCTGTTAATTTATGAAACTCGAATCCTAGTTAAATCCACCTCCATGGACAAAATTAGAGTTAAGCAAGAGGTCTAGGGTTACGAGTATTGGTGATTGATCTCGATAGTTCCGAATATGATTCGTCTACTTCTGGTAATGTAGTTAGTAACGGTAAGAGGTTTAGGGTTTCAGGTATTGGTGGTGACGACGAAGGTCATGGTCATCGCCTTCACAGTTGAGTTTTGTTTTCGTTTTTAAGTTTTTTCACCATCTATTTCCCTTTCTTTTTATATGAAATTAATCCCTTTCCACATTAATCACGCAGGAAACCACATGCATGTCGTATCATGTGGTTTCCAACCAATCAAAGCCACTGCCACTCAGGCACCTCCTGCTGTTTGAAGTAAGAAGTTGTATAAGCGTTCATAGCATGCCTTTTATCTGTTCGATGTTATACTGAAGCTACTTTTTAAAATTTTCCTGTAACAACTTCTCCCTGCTTTGATTTCCCATAGAACCAGTACCGGAGGGAAGACCAAGGTTGGAATCAATGGTATGCTTTCTCAAAATTCGTAGGTTTTTCACTATATGTTTCCAGATTTACTTTTGAACATATACTTCATCAGATAAAATAATGAAAATAATGGTCTTAATGTTTCTGCGTATGGGTAGAATTTAAAGAACATCAACCTTCCAAGTTTTGTACGAATTGGAAGGTTAGTTTCGAGAATAGCAACATTTAGAGAGGATATTGAGGTTGTTGCAGTCAACGACCCTTTTATTGATTCCAAGTACATGTAAGGGTTTAAGCATATGATGATTTTGTAAAAATTACATCAATTTATTTGAAAGATAACTGTGAGATGATTCATGATTTATGATTGACCTTTTTAGGCTTACTTGTTGCAGTATGATTCTACTCATGGCTTATTCAAAGGAACCATCAAGGTTATTGATGAGTCCACTTTAGAAATCAATGGGAAGCAAATAAAAGTAACCAGCCAAAGGTATATGTTTATCCCTTTTGTTACTTGTGAGTTTACTTTTTTTTTATCCTAAGAAATAAAACTCACGTTTTGTTCAGAGATCCAGCCACAATTCCATGGGGTGATTTTGGAGCTGACTATATTCAGAGATCCAGCCATAAGAAGGTAAATGTAAACCAACAAATTTTGGTTCACTTGTAAAAGACGTTTATACGCCTGGGCTGATTTTGTTGGTGCGAATGACTTGATGTGCTGGGTGGTGCTAAGAAGGTGGTGATCTCAGCTCCATCAGCTGAGGTACCCATGTTTATTGTAGGGGTAAATGAGACCACATACAAACCAAACATGGATATTGTATCCAATGCCACCTGTACTACTAACTGCTTAGCCCCTTTAGCCAAGGTACTTATCTTTTCCTGTATGTATGGATAAAATAGCTAAATGGTTAAATGCTTAATTAAAAAAGAAACAGCTCTTAATGTTTTTTATATAATGGTTCTCTTTTTATTTTTATATATAGGTGGTTCATGAGGAGTTTGGTATCATTGAAGGTTTGATGTCAAATGTAGGTACATTCTCTACCCATTTGACCCATTGGAAATAAAATTTATCCCAAAATGACCAATTTGCCCTTTCTATTTTTTCAGGCTATGGGTAGCCTGTCTGTGGATGAGTCACCAGAGCTATCTGAAGCAGACATGGTTGTGTTTTTAGAAATTGTCATATATAATAATGAAATTGTTTAAAAAATGGGTCTAAATGATGCAGGCATTGTATGGAAATTCTTGTTCTTCCCTATGTGTCCATTTGTACAGAGAAGGTGGACTATTGCCTTACTTGTGCATTGTATTTGTTGAGAGTTGTATTTAAATATGTAAAATTTATGTCCTTAAACTTGATTATTTGTCTTTAAGTGATGCAGGTATCACATCTTGAAGGGTTACTTGAACGTTCTATTTTTGAAGACCTTAGAAACCGTGTACAATTAAACAGTTCCACACTTCCTTCAGTTAGTTTCTACACATTCATCAATACACATAACGGGTATTTGTATTTCCCCTTTTACTTTAAATATTTTGTGTCTTGTTTTTCTTTTTCATCTATTTATATTATATAATTTTTTTTTCCGTCTGTTTCAGATTAAATTGTTCGTAAATATCCCACGATGGATCATTAGTAGCTTGAGGATTCTCAGATTCATCACTCAAGGTCTTTTTCCTTAATTTTATTTCTTAATATTCTAATACAAAATTAGAAATCCAGTTTATATTATAATCTTATTAATATCTGGTAGGTGTGGGACATGGCAAAACTTGGGCGAATGGGGAGTTGTAAGTTATCCAAATTATTTACTTCAAAAGTTAAATAACTAACTTTTTAAATAAAGGTAAAAAATGATTAATTAAATAAGACTTTCTGGTTTTCAGCTGGTGAAAATGATTCGGATGGATCGAATGGTGGAAAAAGGTCTTACACTTTGTATCAGGGGCATTCTGGTCCGGTTTATTCAGCTTCATTTAGTCCTTTTGGGGATTTTCTTTTATCATCATCGTCGGATTCAACAAGTATGTTTTTTTTTCTTATGAAAACTATTTCATGTTTCCATGTTATACTTATGAATAATTATTGCAGTTCGATTATGGACCACGAAGTTCAATGCAAATGTTGTCTGCTACAAGGATCATAATTACCCTGTATGGGATGTTAAGGTAGAAAAGTCAAAAATATACTACCATGTAAATGTTAATGGAATATTGTAAATTTATGTGGTAGTTATTTGTTATTGTATATGCAGTTTAGTCCACTTGGACACTATTTTGCAAGTGCATCTCATGATAGAACAACTAGGATTTGGTCAATGGATAGAATTCAGCCTCTAAGAATACTTGCAGGACACTTATCTGATGTTGATGTGAGTTTTCTCTCTCTTTTTGGTCCCTGAGGATGGCTGATTTTTGCAATTTTAGTCCAAAAAATGAAGTACCAAGGGACCAAAATGTAATTTACCTTTGATCTAGACAACAGTTGCTGGACGTGTTCTGTTTATTTTTTAATAAAATTTGGCAGTGTGTAGAATGGCATATGAACTGCAATTACGTTGCAACCGGATCAAGCGACAAAACTGTTCGTTTATGGGACGTACAAAGTGGTGAATGCATAAGAGTTTTCATTGGTCATAGGAGTATGATTTTATCATTAGCCATGTCACCTGATGGTAGATACATGGCATCTAGTGATGAAGATGGAAGTATAATGATGTGGGATGTTTCCAATGGTCGATGTATCCCTCTTCTTGTTGGCCATACTCCATGTGTCTGGTCTCTTGCTTTCAGGTACCCAACTCATTCACATCACATACTTGTACTTTTACTGTGTTTAACAATATATCTATATGTTTCAGTTGTGAGGGATCCCTTCCTGCATCTGGTTCCGCTAATTCAACTATTATATTAGGGGATATTAACACAAGTGCAAAAACGCCCAAAACCGATGACAAGTAATCGTTTTTATTTTTATTATTTTTATTTTTTTATATGATTTTTAACTGAATCCATGTGTTGTTTGTTTCTCTTTGATTTGTTACTCTTTGATTTGTTAGTAAAAGTGGAATTACAAATAGACTGAGGTCACTCAAGACTCTACCTACCAAATCCACCCCGGTTTATGCTTTACGGGTAAACACTCAACTTTATCGAAATAGCATTTCTGTATTATTAATTTTTGTTATTTAGGGTTAAGAATAAAATATTCTTAACCCTTCAAATGCGCGTGAGAGCACCGGTTCCAATGTGGCAGCGCCAATTGTCAAGAAATCCAGAGCCTCAGAACCACCACCCGAGGGTCAAAACATGACAGATGCTTCCGAAAGTGTAATACCCGAGGAGGCTCCTCCGGTCAATGTTGTAGACGAAAGTCTAAGTCTGATTCCAAATGCAACCAAGCAAGCACTATCACCTATTTTTTTACGTGAATCATGTTTTTCCATTGTCAGGTACTATAAACCATAAACTTGTTATTTATTTTTAATTTTTGTTTTTTGGGTGGTTTTTTTTTAATTTTCTACCATTTTAAATACTGGAAGGTTAAGAGGGATATAAAGTAAAAAGGGAGCAGGTAGCTGATGTAAGTAGTTGATATGAAGATTTGTGGAGCTAGTGGATAGAGCATATGTTTGTATTTGAAGATTTAATTATGTTGTTGTAGGGTTTTATATTTTATTATATGTATTATTAATTATTAATCATTGATTGGTATATGTTATTGCAAGGATTTGTTTTTGAATGATATGGCTGATTTTTGCTTTTGTTGTTGGTATATACAGGGTTGCTCATATAGTTCTTGAACAGAACTATGAAATGGAAAGGCGTTTGGCACCCAGGACTCTAAGAGTTTATTCTCTATATTGGTTGATGATTGCTAGATGTCCGCCACTTACATTCAGGCTTGTAGATATGTCTGCAAAAAAAGCAAAACAAAACCCTTTTTATGTGAACTATGTGAGTTCATTTATCTCCTATGTGTTTCTTAGGATGGTTGATTGGGTGTCTCTACTTATGATGCGAACAAGAACCACATACGCCTCTTCGTGTAATCAAAAGCAACCCCTATTCAGATCATTCAAACAAAGGTTAGTTACCAACAGCTTTTTTGAAAGTTTAGTTGGTTTGTATTTCTGTCTGGAACTTAAAACTTTTTCATTGTCCACTTTAGGTAATCAATGTGCATCAGTTTATGACATTCATCAATAGACTTGATCAAGATGTCATGCAGAGAACCAAACGAGCCTGGTTGCAGGTTTGTTTTTTCCAGCAAGAAGGGTAAAATGTTCATTTTACCTTCTTCATATTCAGATCATTCATACAGTCCCAAAAAGAAACAGCCTTTGTTAGTTTGTTAATATAGTACTTTTAGGTATGTTTCTTTTCTAGTCCAAATAAACAAGAAAGTGTTGGTATGAGACTAAATCACTAAATGACCATTTTACCCTTATATTTCTTTTTTGTAGGAGAGAATCACAGTAGTCATGTGTTTCCTTGTGATAAATAGTTATCTCTCTCCCTCTCTCTCTCTCTCTCTCTCTCTCACACACACACACACACACTCAAAAGCTTCTTTAATGCTCACAAGCTGTTGAAGGAAATAGCAATGTACTATGTTAATCAATTATTATAGCATGCTCACAACCTGTTCAAAGTGGAATTCCTATAAAAAAAAATCTTGATGTCTGGACCTTAAATAAAAAAATCGAGAAGAAACTAGCTAAGATGTTGACTGTGTATTAAATTTTAATATTTTATACAAGTATGGGCTGTATTGAAGCTTGGATTCTTGGAAAAAGGTATGTTACTACATGTGTATTAAATTTTAAGATTTTATAACATAGATTGATGATGCTTGAAGCCTTTCTGAATACTAATGTGTTGATGATGAAAACAGGTACCATGTAGAAACAGAAGCATAACAATAAGAAGTAGAAACAAGAAGGTGTTCCTTAATAGCAATGTAATATTAGGTTATATAGTTAAGGAAAACCTCTTAATAACAATGTACAATCGGATCCCCTTAATACCAATGTATTACAATTTTTTGACATGACGTTATGGATGAAATTGATTGTTTTGTTTCCATATTTTTGTATTATGCGTAAATGAGTATCGTAAAGACGTGTCGTAAATGTATATCATAAATTGTTGTTGAAGTTTATGACACACAAATGTGTGTCATCTTCATTTATGACAGGGGCTTTAATGATACACAATGCGTGTCCTAAACGTGCGTCGTAAGGTTACGACACACAAATGCGTGTCGTTTTCATTTATGACAGGGGCTTCCTTGATACGCATTGTGCGTCGTAAACGCACGTCATAAATGCGCATCGTAAATGCATGTCGTCTATAGACGACGTGCAAAAGCGTGTCGTCTCTCGTTATGACAGGGTCTTCCTTGACACGCATTTGCGCGTCGTCTGAGCATTTTACGACACGCATTCAGCGTCGTAAAACGCTCTTTTCTAGTAGTGAATCAACGATACATTTAGTTTACGAGGTGAGATGCATTCAAATGGTTTTATATAAGAATTAAATTGCGTAATACTATTTTAAGTATATAAATACTTATACATTTTTGGTCTTAGGGTTTTTAAGAATACAACTCATTTTAAAGGAAATATTGAATTTTCTGGGAACAAACACTATCATTTTACAAATAAAGAGTTATAGTTTTTTCACATACAAACCTCTTATGAACTCACCAACTTAATTGTTGACAATTTTTAAAATTACTTGTATTTTTAGGAAACCGTTAAACATGTAGTCACAAGGCTTTTGAGGATGAGACGTTACGGCGTCGTAGTATTCATTTTGTCGTCATAATGTAATTGGTTTTTGATATGTGCATATTTGACTATATATTTAGTATAGATATTCATTAATTGTTAGCTAATTATTTACATATTATGGACAAAAGGTACTTAATAGTGTTCAAGTTGTATTTTCAGTCCAAAAGAGAATCTCGGAAGCAAAAGAAAGCAGGAGAAGCAGTTGGAAGCTCAGGAGTTGAAACAAAGAAAAAAAATGCCAAAAACAAGAAGGACTCGGCGAGTCGAAGCCCGACTCGACGAGTTGGATCGAAGATTCGCGAAGCTCTAGAAGTCCTTGTCGTATACGGAGTGTTAATGAGGGACTCGACGAGTTGGGACCTTAACTCGACGAGTCACCTCTGTTTCTAGAAAAATATAAATAGGGACTTTGAGATCGAGATGGGAACTTCTCTGGAACTCGAGGAGGCTCAAATTACGATTGAAGGCGCTGCTAAACCGAGAGAAGCTGAGGAATCAACCCTAAATTCAATTGTGAAGAGGATTAAGGCAAATTCTAATCTACTCTTAGTTAAGCTTTTGATTGAATCATGTTGGAACTAGTTGAATTCGTTTTTGAGCTTGTTTTTACTGCAATTATGAACTAAAACCTTTAACTTCTGTTTAGAGTAGATGATTTTGTGAATATGAATTGATTTTATGGTTAGGAATTTTAATTGGTGATATTGTTTTGCTAAGCTTGTTAAAGAACCTCATATATTAATAACAACTATTTTCTGTTAATAAATCAGTAATTATGTTGTATGAACATCTCTTAGTAATCAATTTCATATGATTTATGTGACCACATAGTTATATGTCTAGGAATAACGAATGTGAAACTAGAATTAACT